TCTCCAGCCCTGGTCCTGGGCAGCCCCCAGTCCAGTTATTCCTATAGGTCACCCTCAATCAGGGGTCTCCAGCCCTGGTCCTGGGCAGCCCCCAGTCCAGTTATTCCTATAGGTCACCCACAATCAGGGCCCTGGTCCTGAGGTCTCCACAGCTCTAGTACGTGTGAGCCAGGAGAGAAGAGCCACAGCCAATCACACTGTCCTGTGTGGTCACTCTGTGTTGCCCATCAGACGGGCAAGCTGAGACCACTCCTGGTTCAGCTTTCCCCCTCTGACCTGGTCTGTCTGCCCCGCTGTGAGACCCCGGCACAGGGATTTCGTTAGTGCATGGCAGGCTGTGTGGTTGGGCTGCTCCGCGTCTCCCAGCTGGGGCGGGCCGGGCCCCCTCTCCTGTCGGCAGGGCGATCCTGCAGGATGCAAAGTGCTGCACCGACTGAAGGCAGAGCTCCTGGTCAAAACAAACGCCGAGCGCCGAGTCACTGCGCTGCCTCGGAGAGAAACGGTGACTCTCTTCGGTCTTCGGTCCGCCGACGTTCACCGAGCGGGCTCGGAGAGCTCCGAGACGACAGGTGAGCGAGCCAGCGGTCAGGCCAGAGCTCGGCGGTCCTCACCTGCTGCAGGCGGAGGCACTGGGCGTGCGGCCCGAACACCTGGCCCTGCAGGTAGGCGATGTAACGGCCGTCTGGGCTGAGGCGCGGCGAGGAGACGGCCGTGGTGTCGGGGGACAGGAGCTCTGGAGGGGAGGGAGAAGCAGGAAAAACCAGGAAGGGAGGACAGGAAAGATGCAGGAGAGAGGGAAGGAAAACGAGGAGGGAGACCACGGGTTTACAGAAACAGATGACAGGGGGAGAGGAGCAGAGGAGCCAGGGAGGAGGACGAAGGGAAGGGAGGAAGAAAGACGATTAGAAAAAAGACAAAAACAAAAAAAATGGAAACAGGATTGGAAGAAAAAAAGACAGACAGCATGATTCTCTACAGCTGCAGTTGCAAGAAAAAGTTTGTGAACCCTTTGGAATTACCTGGATTTCTGCATTAATTACTCATAAACATGTGGTCTGATCTTCAACTCAGTCACGATAATAGACAAACACAATCTGCGTAAACTAATAACACAAGCGATCGGACTTCTTCTTGTCAGGACTGAACACAACGTTTAAACATTCCGAGTCGTTCACACATAGCGCTTATTTAACCCTTCGCAGCTACAGCTGGACACGAGCAGGAGAGAGAAACTCACCACAGTTCCCTTCGAGGTCCAGGGAGAACAGAGCCGACCTGCAACGAGACGTGTGCGGAGCTCTTTACCGACTCTTACAGATCCGCACGCGGAGGACAGACACCGTGGTACTAATTTGCACAAACAGCACGTCTCAGGAATGCCTCCACGTCTTATTGAATCGTTCAGATCCGGTCAACCAGATCAATCGCTCACCTGGCATCAACCCGAAACGGACCTAGCGAAGTCTCAGCAGGCGCCAGTAAGACGCCGTGCGCCCTGCTCCGCCGATCTCACTCGGGCTGGTGCCCTGCCCGGCGGTCTCTCACCTCCTGTTGGTGCAGAACCGCAGCCCGAGGCGGAACGGCTCGTGCCACCAGCCCACGAAGACGACTGCGCCGTCCCCTGGAGCCCAGAAGGCCTGGGAGCGAGAGCGAGACGAGACACGCTGGAGCAAAGGATCGTGGGAGCGCGGTCTCGTCAGGGCCAGGCTGGACGAGACGCTGGGATCCGTTCGCTTCGAACGCGTCTGTATTATTCTGGTTAATGATTTATATTGGTTATGGATATAGGTGCGCGGGCTGCCCCATCACGTTGGGGAGAACCTGCCCCGGGTCGACCCACCTGCCCGGGGGACACCTGGCGCGGGACGCCCCGCAGCACGGACACGCTGCCCTTGTCGACGTCGGCCACGCACAGGATCGGGGTGCTCTTCCCGGCCAGCCCCTCGCCCCAGTCCTCCCAGTACACGCACTGGTCCTCCTGCAGCACAGAGCGGTGAGACAGGAACACGTCCGAGTCAAAACGTTACCTTACAGGTCCCTGTGAAACCACCAATTTCTAAAGATTAGGGACATCTGCAGGGCGATCAATTAAACAGGCGGCTTATTAAGTCATCGAGAGATTGTTCAGGACTAAAATCAAAGTCCTCTTCAGCCCTCAACGGCTAGAGTTCTCATAACTGACCAATTAACTTGCTTTCTTCATCAAAAGCTCACAGGCGTTGCTGATCTTTATTAAAAAGGAATAGTGCAGAGTGGACGTTTAACCTTTTAACTTTCTGATATCATGGAACAGCCACGCTAGTTTAGCTGTTCATATCACCAATATTATTCAGTTAAATAAAAACACTCGTTTACCTTCTGGGTTGGCTCCTCCTCCTCGGCTGCAGGCCCCGCCCCTTCTCTATCATTGGCTGGCCCGGATTCCGAAAGACAGGATGACTCCGCCTTGCGATGCCTCTTCTCTGCCACATACAGCACACGGCTCTCCGAGCCCGACCAGGCCAGGCAGCCGAACTGAGCTGAAAACACAGCAGGGGCCTGTGTTAGAGGTCACTTTCTACCAAGCGCTGTGCGAGCTACACTGCGGGACTGACGGCCCGTCGAATTAACAAGGGGGGCTCGAGACAAAAGAAACAACACACAGGCTTACCATCCTCGTAGACCCTGCCATGCTTGTCGAGGGAAGTCAAGTCCATGCTCTTCGCTAGCCCGTTCTTGTTCCAGATCTGTCAAAAGACCATCGTGGATTACAAACCCAGTCAAAATGGCAGCGTCCCTCCTTCCTGTCTGTATCCCGCTCCCTCAGGGCAGGTGTGCCTGCAGGTTTCCCAGCTCCCTTTAAAGCACTGGCTCCTCACCGAGCTCCAGTGCACCGGTGACGAGCCGATCCGGGTCTTTCAGGACTGAAAACCTGCAGAGACACTGCGCCTGCAGCCCCAGCAGTGGGAACCCCGGGGGTATCCGGTTTCAGCACCCCCCCCCGGGGACAGACTGACCAAGCCCGGTGGGCGGGGCTCCGGACTTGTAACCGGAAGGCTGTGGGTTCGAGTCCCAGGTGAGGCAATGCGGGCACAAGCTTGAGCAAGACACCTCACCTGTGCTGTTCGGGGTAAACGGAGGCGTGTTGTAAGTCAAACTGGGTGAATAAATCAGTAATAAGAGGATCAGCAATAGTGCTTGTTCTGGTTGATCCCAATGGATCCCAACACATCTGGCAGTAAAGGTTATTCCATGCTGAAAAGAGACACAACGGTTTGACTTTTGAGCCTTTAGGAGGCCCTTCCCTTTTCAGCCAGAATAAACATTTTGCTTGCTCCTTTGCAGCCTACGCAAGCTGACGCAGCTCCCTGCTTGAACTAAATCCGGCAGACGTTTTTGTTTTATCCAAAGTGACATACGCTTGCATGCATTTATACTGCTGGGGATTTAACAACAAGACTGATATTGCACACTGCACGCAGGAAGGTCCCAGACTGGGATATGAACTCGGGACACTGGAGCTTGGACGCAGCACAGCCCACAGCACCAGGACCCGCCTGGACTAAACCGCAGCCTCCGACCCGCTCGGCTCATCCTCACCTCCAGGGCCTGGTGCCGTGCCCCAGCCCCGTGACAGGCGACATCCCGGACAACGGCCTTCAGGGATCCGGAGGGAGACTGGCTGCTGAGCACCCTGCAGAAGAGGCAGGCCACAGAAACCGTCACAGCCGGGCCCCGCCGAGAACACAGCGCCCCCTGCAGGGTCAGGAAGACGGCAGAGGACTAGTGACCAGCCTGCCGCTGGGGGAACCTCCCCGGATTCCCCCCGGAAGAAATCGAGACTCCGGGTCGCAGCTCCGGAGGGGAGACGGTTTGTGTCCGGACCTGCGATGATGAACTACCTTTGCTTCCACGAACTACCTGTCACGCAGCTCAGGCGTGCATCCCAGTCGAGGACGGCCTTCCCAGAGGAATGAACTTTTCACTTGCACACCATTCCTGGGAAATAGAGCAGGAGTAGCAGGAGATGGCGGGCTGGGCTTTTCTCAAGCAAAGAACGTTCCGGTGAAGGTGTCCGGGGGAGGAGGAGGAGGAGAGCTGGACTGTTTGGAGAGCGCTGTTTCTTGCGGCGCTGCCCAGGCCTTATTCAGAAAGAGCAGCCACCCTGGCCGCAGGAGAGCTAAACACGGATGATCCAAGGGTGTCCCTGGAGATTTACTCCGGTTAACTTCGCGGAGACACGAAGTCAGAGAGGCGGAAGAAACGCAGAGTGCAGAAGGGGCACCTCTGGGCCCGCACCAGGCGAGGAATCCTTGTTCCAGTCAGTCCTGGAAGCTTGTTTTAGAGAGCCTGCTGGCCCATTCCGTCCCAAATTCTCATCTCCGGTACCGAGGAGTGCCCGGGCCGAAAAACATTCTCTCCCTATTCTGGGAGAACGGGGACATAGATCCCTGGGCGCTTTTGGACACCCGTGACGTAAGGAGGTGGTACTGTTTATATTGAGCATGTCATTGCGCTTGTGCATGTGACAAAATAACCCGAACTGAAGCGGACTGACTCTTGAGCCCTGTTCTTCTGTTAGGGGGCAGGGGCCTCTCCTTCTGGCTCACTGAGGGAAGGTACGGCGCTTTCAGCCCACAGGGCTGGAATACGGCGTTGCTGAAAGGCGCTGCCTCGTGTGCCGCGTTGTGCGTACAGCGTGCATGGTCTGGGTAGTGATGTGACTCACGTGTCTGCGATGTCACCTGCCAGTCGGGCACCTCTTAGCTCTCTCTCTCCCAATTCAATTCAATTCAAGGTGCTTTATTAGCATGACCGATGGGTACAATCAGTGTTGCCAAAGCAAATAAAAATAATAAAATTAACATAGAACAAAACAAAAAGTAGAAGTAAAATAAAATCTACAGACATGTTACAGACATTTACAACAAAGACATATTATATAATATCGACATATACTGTAGGCGGCTGGAGCATTATTGGGAGACGGACTCACTGTTCCTCAGGCTGTGACAGGAGATCACATACTGGGCTGCCAGATCAACTGAGTTCCCTCCTCCCTCTCCCAGTAGGATTGGGACCTGTTGTGGTTTTGGCAGGTGTGGGAACTCTGGGATTAGATTTCTGAATTTCGGGAAGAATGTTTCTCTAATCCCAGAGTATCTGTCACAGTGCAGTAGGAAGTGCACCTCTGTCTCTATTTCTCCCTGCTGGCAGTGGGAGCACAGCCTGTCTCTCTCTCTCTCTCCCTCCCTCTCCCTCTCCCTCTCTCTCCCTCTCTCTCTCTCCCCCTCTCTCCCTCCCTCTCCCTCTCCCTCTCTCTCTCCCCCTCTCTCCCTCCCTCTCCCTCTCCCTCTCTCTCTCTCCCTCTCTCCCTCCCTCTCCCTCAGACAGGGCCTGCACACCCACCCCGGGGGACCCCAGACGCATGCCGGCGCGGCGCGTGCACGTACTCGCCCTGCAGGTGGCAGCACTGGCCCGGCGGCAGGGCCTGGAGCTCCGTCCTACCGGCGCGGAGCAGGGTGTACTGCCTGCCGAACCGCACCCGCTGCCCCCGGTCCTCCTGCGCCTGGGTCCACTCTGAAACACAGCGCAGCACGGTCAACCCCCCCCCCCCACAACCGCCAAGGGCGACCGAAGACAGAGAGCAGCATGGGAAGACAGCCGTCCTGACAGGGGGGCGAGCTAAGCAGAACCGCGGAGACCGCTGACTGACAGGAAGGCCCGCGTTGGGGACGGACTCGGCGTGGACACCAGAGGGACGCACAGCTCAGGAGGCTGACGACTACAGCAAAACCTGGTGTTTTCCTCTCCCCTTCAGAGACAGAAACAGGCCATGTCTTTTTTTTTTTTAAATTATTTTTAAAGGCAAAACCTGCTTCAGATATAATAACCCTCTGTCGGCGGGGCAGGCTCAAGTCTTCTCGTGTTTACATGGGTAAAGACTATTGGAACCGAGGAATCTGTCATTTGGACCAAGAAGATCTCGCCAACCCGGGCTCGGCTCGGCTCAGTACCTCGAGAAAGCGCGTCACCTCACGAAAACGGATTATGCCGGGTGTGCAGTCACCTGTGAGGAGGCTGATGTATCTCCCCCCCGCCGGCGCCGGCTCCTCGGGTCCGGCCGCGGCGGCCACAGGTGAGGGGTACCGGCTGTACCTGCCGAACAGCGCACGGACCGCCTGGGGCTCCGTCATCACCTGGAGCACAGAAACGGGAGCGGGTCGGAGGACAGAGACCGCAAAGCCGGCTGGCAGTTTAGGTAGCTCGCCGGGTGGTTGCAAAAACCAGACTACAAGACAAATAATAAATTGCACAAAGCATTGCACACGCAGAGTACCGTGCAAGGAAAGGGGGGAGAAGCCACTCTGAAGGAGAGCGCACAGCCGTCCCTTCATGCCTGTGGGCGGCGTTTCAACAATAAATGCATATCGTTCATGAATGAATGGAGCCCGCCGAGGACTACGAATAAGATCGGGCGCTAAACTGTAGAAACGAGGGGCTTTAAAACAATCCTCCGTCGGCGGAACACACTTGGGGAAAAACGCGGCGCACTTTTCTAGCGTTTACATCGGGAAAGGCTGCTGCAACTGACGAATCTGTGATTTGCAAAACCCGGAGCCCTCCCGACAGCCCTGTCCAGGCTCCACCCGGGACCCCTAGGCGCGTCGAGCACGGAGAGCCTCACAAAGCCGGAACAAAGGATGTCATTTCTAATTTTAAACTGAAACACAAAACGGTGGACAACATTACCGGCGACTCCATTCCGGACCTGACCCCACAGCCCCCAGCCACACTCCACTGGACTACCGGACTGTGCTACTTTCGTACAAGCGCGGGGGGGAGATCAAGAACGTACCATTTTACTTCTTTTTGTTTTGTTTGCACGACTTGCATGATCTTTACAACGGCAGGACGCAAGGAGCTGAGCTGTGTGCGCATCGTCGTCGTGTGTTTTTACAAGAAACCCTTACGGTAACAAAATGGCGATTCTCTGAGCAGGGACTGTAAATTAAACCTCTATGCGTTCTGGAAAATATTCAGAAAAAACTGTCGTTTTTAAAACACACATAAAGGCATACTGCACTTGTACTACCAGGTAGTTCGAGGAGTAATCAACAGCAAACGGCTGTGCTAAAGCAATTTCACCGTTTTAAATTGTGGGTCTAGAAATGTACACGATACTGTAGTTCTTTCCTGCAGTGGGATCCCCTGCCCAAAGCCTGCCTCACCATCAGGGGGAGTGTCTAAGTGTTATAGGAAAGAGACCTGAGCTCCACAAACAAGGACAGACTGATGAATCCAGGAGAGACGGGGCTCAGCCCAGGCGATCTCAGCCTAGCATCAGGATAGAGTGTCTCCGTGCCGAAAACTCTTCCCCGTCATGTCCTCTGCCCGAATTCCTTTTGAGCAGCTCTTGGGCCAGGACCTGCTCCAGAGCTCACCTGGGCTAACCCATTACATCAGCTGCAGCATGTTGGCTAACCCCAGTAATGAGGCCATACAGCTTGAACCCACACACAGAGCTTGATGAACACCCCACCTGCAGTTCAAACTGTTCCATTTCCTCCATATAATAATAATTCCTTATACTCATATGGAATTTCTGGACGCCCCACTCACAGCGCTGTACAGGTCATGGGGATCCTCTCCACCCCCACCAGTGTGTACCCTCACCTGGATGATGCTCCAGTCCGCTCCCCACACACCAGCTCTCAGTGGGGAGGAGAGCAGAGTGATGAAGCCAGTTCAGAGAGGGGGATTATTAGGAGGCCATGACTGGAAATGGCCAGGGGGAGAATTTGGCCAGGACACTGGGGTAACACCCCTACTCTTTTCAAGAGATGCCCTGGGATTTCGAATGACCACAGAGAGTTAGGACCTCTGTTTTATGTGCCTTTTTACAGTACAGTATCCCCGTCTCTATACTGGTGCATTAGGACCCACACAGACTGCAGGGTGAGCGCCCCCTGCTGGCCCCACTAACACCACTTCCAGCGGCAACCCTAGTTTTTCCAGGTCTCCCATCCAGGTACCGGCCAGGCTGGAGTTGCAGGGCGATGTGGCTGCCGGCCCTCGCGAGTCAGTTTGGGGGTCCCGTTATTGACATCATTGGTCTTCGCTACAACTGTCTCCTGCTGTTTGGTCAACGAAGCTCGAGTGGAAGGAAAAAGCACGCAGGCGTGGGATTCCAGTGCCTGGATGGGAAACTCCCCGATTTCTCCCGCTCTGCAGGACCGGCTCACGAAGCAGAAGACGGACAGGCCCCTCTCCTCAGGCGCCAGGCCTCGGCCCCCTCCTGCAGCGGCGCGCTCCCCACCACACAGCGCCCGAGAACAGTCCACTGGGGAATTTCCCCACTCGGACAGTTTATTGGGGGTTTTGTTTTGCCTGCACAGTCCAGACTCCTCCCAGCAACCGGGGGGGGGGGCGACGCCGGACCTGCACGCGACGCCCCAGCAGCGAAGAGGGGGAACCTTACCGCCCGACAACGAGCCGCAGAACCGCGGCCGCACAGCCGGTTCTCTTGTTTTGTTTTAAGGCAAAAACCACGGTGCATTTTCCAAGTTTTATTTTCTAGAATTATACAGCTCACAATCAGCAAATTTTGCATTTTTTTTACCCTCTGGGTAACACTTCACTGCTACCCCGTTTTCAATAGTTAAGGACTATCATTTTCAAGACAATCTTGTGCTGTTCTCACACGTGTGCAGGACCTGGCACAAGCTGCGCTGCTGGCAGTGCCTGAGCACCCAGATCACCCTGTGAACAGGCTACACGCTTCTAGCTCCCAGTCTAAATAAAGTATTACTCTGTTCCCTTTCCTGATGCAAGAATATTTCATTTCTGAAATAAAAAATGCTTAAAAATATATATATATTTTTTAAATCCTTCGTTTTAACTTGAACGGCGCGTCAAATGAAAGACACGCCGGTAAAGGTTAGTGTATCTGCACAGATCCGAAACGCCGATGGGCCCCGGGCTGGAGATGCTCACGACACCTCGAGCCGGGCCAATCGGATCCGGTCTGCGGCTGGACTTGGGAGGGGACCAGCCCCGGATGGCTGGATTCATTGCCCTCACTGCAACTTCCTGAGCTGGATGCGGAAAAACCGCGGAACGCAGCACGGAGCGGACTGGAGGGGCCTCAACGCTGAACACCCCTGCTCGAAGGGGGACAAAGATCCTACCCGCAAGTGTCCCGCCTCGTGCAGCACGGACACCCCTGCGCTTCCTGTAATTTCTGCATGGATTATGAAAAGACAGCATACAAAATTGACATAGAAAAACTACAAAAAATCTTCCATTTGCAACCCCGCTCCCCTTTCCCTACCGAACTACAAAGACAGTGTAAACATTTTTTTTTCTAAAAAAAAAAGGAACACTTGCTGTTCGTCCGAGCTCAATAAATTAGAAACTAAAATCTCTTCGTCTGTGGTATCTGAAGATCTTACGCGAGTAGGAACGTGCCGTTCTCCTCCTTGACTTCCTTGATTTGCAGTATTATTTTTTTTAATTGGTGTTAAATAAAACTTTAATAAGAAGGATCCCTAACGCGCGCACACGCACACACACACACACTCTTCTTCTGCAAGGTCTATGTGAGGTCTTGGATTGGCAGCAGCAATCAAGTGAGGAGGAGGAGGAGGAAGGTGGCTAGCGCTGACCCAGCACACTGCACCCCCTACATGACATCCGCCCGCTTGTCTCGAACCTTGTTCCTCTGTTTCGTCCGGGCCTTGAAGGCAGCCGCGTTGAAGAGATGCTGGAAGACAAACGGCACCGATTTTAATTTATTCTGCCCCCTTAAAAAAAAAAAAAAAAAACAACCAACCAAACAAACATCTCTGCTGCCTCTCCGGATGGGGACTCCTGCCGGGAAAAGCCGACGGGACTCAGGTGGGGATTCGGCCGTTTACAGTGCCGGGAGAGCAGGAGCCAGCTGGGTCAAGGAGCTGTGCTGCCGCAGGGACTCGAACCCGCGACCCTCCCACTGCTGCTACAGCGCCGCCCCCTGAAGCCTCGAGACTCGTAAATATTCTGTTAGACAGAAACCGAAACGGGGCGCCTCCCTCAGGCTGGGATCAGGACGCGCCGCCGCATTCTCGAGAACTCGGAACCGGTTCCGGGCCCGCGGGCGTGTCAGGGGCAGCGCAGAGGGGTAGGGCCGGGAGCCCAGGGCAGGATAGAGGGCAGGCGGGCGGCACCCTGACCTTCTCGAAACGGGAGATCCTGTTGGCCTTGACGGAGCTGTCCAGCACCAGCGCGGGGCCCAGCTCGAAGACGTCCCTCAGCAGCTGGTTCCACTGCAGACACAGGAGAGCAGGACAGGGTGGTCAGCGCCCTCGGGCCCCGGCTACGCCTCTCCCCCTCCACGACCGCGCCGTCCTGCCACGGGAGCTGAAGACGCCCCCGTGCCCCGCGCAGTACGCCTCCTCACCTGCAGGTGGTGCCGCACTCCCGAGCCCAGCACCTCTTTGAAGGCATCGTAGGTCCTCCGGCGCATCCAGCAGTCGATGTAAAGACTTTCGACGCCAAAGCGGATCTTCTCCTCCGGGAAATCCTCGCTCTGGGGGGACAAGAGAGACGGCGGGAGGCAGGGTTACCAGCCTGCCCAGCGTAACGTCACCATGGTCACGCATCTCCCCGGAGAGCCCCCCCCCAACGGTCTCCATGGTAACCGCATCGCACCACTTTCCCACGGTGAGTGGGCTGTATCAAGTAGGCGAACCATGCATACATCTCGGACATTAAAAAAACAAACTTAAGAAGCACTCTTCGACGGCCGTCACATAAGATCCGAATTTCAGAACATCCACGTCAGACTGCCTCACTCTGCGAGGAAGACGTTCACATCCTTTCTGGGGCCGCAGCCCAGAGCGACGACCTCAACGACGGGGAACGCGACAGGGAGAGGGGCCGGCGACGCGCTCACCTCGATGTAGTGCAGCACCTCCCTGAAGATGGACCTCTGCTTGCGCCGGTCACTCTTGGCGCGGTGCTTGTGGCTGTCGGTCGCCAGGTCCTTCAGCTGCCCGCAGAGGGCGGCGGCGTCCTCGTACAGGAAGTCCTGCCAACGGGGACACAGGGGCCGTCACCCACCCAGAACGCCCGCGGGGCTCCAGTCGAGGAGCGGGCTCGGGTTGTTTTAACAGATTCCGTCCCTCACTGGGGGGGGGGGGATCATTCAAGCACTTTTTTTTTGCAGAACAAATTTTGAATTGCCAGTTTTTTTTTTTGCTTTCACTCCGCAAAACGCAAGCCTCTCCGATCTCATCGCTGCGCGCTGCAGAGCTCGTGTCTTCACGCCGGGCCTACCAGGGACTGGACTTCTAACCGATGATAACGGAGCAAAAAAAACGACAACTGAAATCCTTCACATATCAGAACGTCCCAAGCAACAGGAGCTCCTCACTGCTCACCGAGACAGGAGAACACTGATTTTCTGGTTGTTCCCAAACACCGTCTTTACAATGCTGGATTTCGGGCATCCAGCATCTAGGATTCCGTTCCCAAATTTCCCCTTTTAATCCGTAGAAAAACTCCAGAAACGGAACGTTGCATATCATCATGATGGAAGCCCGACCTTATCTCAGAGGTGTATACACACACCTTTCGCTTTTACTGTCGCACAGCGCTCTGCGATGCTCTGGCGTGAAGGGCGCCCTGCGAAAGAAAAACCCACACCTGACCCTTACCTCATCGAATTCTCGTCCCAGTTCGAACAGCAAGGCGATGGTCTCTCCGGCCACGATCCGGAAGTGGACATCGTTGCTGGCCAAACAGGCCTGCAGTTTGGGCAAGTGCCTGCGCGCAACACAGAGAGAGAAACAGGGTGAGAAACCAGAGACGGCCAGTCACACTAGACGTTCTGACGCGTCAGTTAGGCGCTTCGATGCCTGGAAACATGCTTCTAGGACAGAGTGATCAGAAGGGAGAGAGACGAGGAGGAAAAGCAGCGGGAGAAAAATGAGCATCAGGATCCTTCAGGGTTGCTCCTCCCTTCCTTGAGGAAACACGACCGCAGAAATATTGCGATCCAGCGGGAGAGAGGGCGAGAGATTCAAATATCCAGGGCCACACCGAAGAAGCCGCCTCTGGTTAGAAAGTGATCGTTTCATATACTGTGCAGCAGAAGGAAATGTCAACTCTGTGCTTTCGCTATGAGTCCTGGGCACACAGGCCATGGCGGACTGGCTTGAAGGTGGACAGGAAGGTCAGATCGCGGCACCCAGACCCCACTACTCACAGCTCCAGGAGGGCATGCAGGCGGGAGGCTGGGCACAGCGTGACGAGCAGCGCCCAGGCCTGCAGGGCGGCGCAGTGGAGCCCCAGGGTGCCCGGCTTGTGGGAAGGAAGGGCTCCATCGCGACCCGGGTACGAGCTGCTGAACACGCTCTCCAGGTGGCCCAAAGACTTCCACAGGTCCTGGAGGAGAGACAGAGGACCACGCCCACAACTCAACATGGAGCCATTCCAAGCGGCTGGAAATATGGGCTTGGACTGAAGTTTTTTTTGCTCTAAATGCTTTTATATCTTTGGACGACAAAAGTGATCTTTGGTCACTCTTAGCTCTTTTTTTTTTTCTCTCCATTTTGCTCAAGTTCAAGATTTAATCCATATTTTCACACCCAGCAAAAATTTTGAGATCACGTCACGTGTCACAGGAGAAAGTCTTGAATCTGCATGGGGAGAATAAGGCCATGTGCTACTCTGACACGCCCACCCACTAACGCTCTCTGAGCTCCACGGACCCCCGGCAGGAGAGTGAGCACCAAATGAGGAGGTACCAAGCCTCCAACTGACATCAAGCCACAACACCACAGCCTGACTAGAGCCATGAGCCAGGCACAGCAGGTCAGGTCGGGGCCTGTCCTCGGAGGAAAGCGTCCAGACTGGGCGAGAAACTTGAAACCACTTTTCTAATCCCAGACACGACTCCCACCCGGATTTCCAGAACGCAAGCTGGTCGTCATTACCTCCACGTTATCAGCAGCAGACACGTAGCAACACATCCCCAGGGCCACCGCGCACTGGTCAGGGAGAGACAGAGACAGAGAGCCTGGTTAACAGAAAGCCGGCCTCCTCACCAGCAAACGCACGAAGCAGTCTCAACGGGGTCTCAACACAGAAGCCACTCAGGATTGCCGGTTATGATGCTCAGATTTTGAAAGCGGTCAAGCCAGGACACAGCCGGCAACGTGAAAGGGAGGAGTGGACGGACAGGTGCAAAGGGACACGGGTCTCCTCCGGAGGGGCTGTACTCACACTCCGCCTGGCCGTCGTGCTGGCGCAGTCGTCGCTGAGGACGGTGCTGAGGGCGGGGCAGAGCGTCGCGAACCCCTCCTCCCCCTTGGAGCCCCCCCCCAGCTGCACACACAGCAGAGCGCACACGGTGGCCGCCGCGGCCTGCTCTTCGCCACTCCCTGCGGGGGGGCGACAGAGGGCAAGAGTATGAGACCTGTGTAGCTGCTTCCTGCACCCTGGCGCTGCCTAGTGCCTTCTGCTCCGCGCTCATCATCACTCATCATCCATCACTTGGCTCCTGTCCCTCGCGCCGACCTCTGACCCCCACCCACTTCTAAACCTCCGACGCCCCCCGTCCCCTCACCTCAGTCTCCGACCCCTCACCTCAACCTCCGACCTCTGACCTCCCACCTCAACCTCTGACCTCCGTCCCCTCACCTCTGACCTCTGCCCCCTCACCTCTGACCTCTGCCCCCTCACCTCTGACCTCTGACCTCCGTCCCCTCGCCTCTGACCTCCGACCCCTCACCTCAACCTCTGACCTCCGACCCCTCACCTCAACCTCTGACCTCCACCCCCTCACCTCAACCTCTGACCTCCACCCCCTCACCTCAACCTCCGACCCCCCCTCCCCCCCCCCCAACCCCCACACCCCAGCAACCTTTGACCTCTCACCCCCGACCCCCCTCCCCTCACCCTTGCGCAGGCTCCTCTCCAGGCAGTCGGCCAGGGTCAGCGTGCGCTCCAGCAGGAACTCGTACAGCAGCCGCGTCGAGAAGCCCAGCCGGAGGCTCTCCAGGGCGGCCAGCCGCGTCTTCGTGCTGCCGGAGATAGGAAGAGGGGAGAACGCACGGCTCAGGACTGCGGCTCTGGGCCGGTGTCTCTGCTCCGTGGGGGGGAGGAGGAGCGCACGACGAAGAAGCAGAGAGAGAGCGACGCAGAGAACAAAGAGGAGACGAGCACCCGGCGGCCCACCCTTCCACACGAGCGGAGGAGAGGGTCCACTCATCCGGGCAGAGGAGGTGGGGCGCCTACCTCTTGTCCATGAGATCGTCGATGCACTGCTTCAGCTTGTCTTCGGTCTCCTCCTGAGCTGCCTGCTCGTCCACCGGCTCGCTGACTGCAACACACACACACATGCACGTGCGCGAGTCAGCTTTAAACCCGCGAGAATCCACCAGCACCGGTTCTGAACGGATGCAGACCCGTAGAGCCGAACAGTCTCCCCCGGTTACGAACTTCCAGAGCGGAGCCGAGCAAGTGTCTGTGCCAGGAGGCAGGGGAGCGCGAGGCGGTAAGGGTCAGGGCTCCGGGCCTCACCCCGATGGCCCCAGCAGGACACCCAGCTGCACTCGAGGTCAGCGCAGCGGCCAGATCCGGCAGTCATGCGACTAGAGGCGGAGGGCCCGCGGCCCACTGCTCCAGGACCGGACTGCAGCGCGGGCGCCATCTCCTGCGGCAGGTCGTCTCCCGGCGCCCCCCCCACTCACCTGTGCCCTCCTCCAGGACGGAGGCGCTCTCGCTGGCGCTGCTGCAGTGGCTGAGAGCCTCGCTGGCCACGTCGTCATCGCTGGCGCCCGAGTCCGCCCTCCCGCCGTTGCGCGCCCCTGCCGGAGGGAGAGAGGGAGGGAGGGAGTGATCACGATGATCACGAGTACTCGAGGCTTAAATCGAGGGACAACGGGGGGGCTGGAGAACCAAGGTAACCAAAATCTGCAAAGAACTCACCCTCTCAGTTAAAAAAAAAAACCCGGTATCTAATCTTTCGCCAGAAAGACGAATTCCCAGAGAGGCCTAGGGCACCTCCCTCCCTCCCGAGCCTCACAGCAACGGGGCTGGCTGGCTCCCTGGTTCCCCGACTCGCACCCGGGCCCCACACCCAGGAGCACCGAGGGACCGGAGCGTTCCGGATCTGAACCCCCCTGACTGTGACGTTTCGCCGAATGAAGGATGAAGTACCGCACGGAGCACGGGGAGGGAGAGAGGGAGAGAG